ACTGAAAGAGTTCAGGCCTTAGGAGGTTAACAATGTCTCTGACGATGAGACCAGTCAATGTGAGGCGACGGTGGCAAGAAAAAACTCCCTCCTGGAGGAAGAAATCTTAGGAGGAGCCAGGCTCTCTGGGAGGACCCTTCCTCCTAAGGGCAATACTTACCTAAAATTTGTCTGAGACGACTGTTGCTCCTTCCTTTTCAGCATGATGATGGCTGTAACTTGCTTCCACATCCTGTTTTAGAATGAAGACAAAACTGATGAACAAGGTAATAGGACATTTAAAAATTATCTCACTTCAGGATGAGCTTCTTACGTTTCTCTTGTAAAACAGGATGTAGGCTGAGTGCTGCTGTTCCTCAAAAACTGCACATCCGGTTGCGTGGAGCACCTGTGCATCATTATAGGTGAGCCAAGGATCTGATGTAACCTGCGGGCTCGCATCAGGATGCACGGAATTACAGATGTAGTGTCCTGAGATCACATTAAGACAAATGAATCCAACTTCTAAAAGTCAACTGATTCATGATTTGTACTTAGTGCTTCTTAGAACATCAAAAGCATTTGTGTGTGAGTCCTTCACTGAAAAGTAGCAAGCTCTGTTAAATCATTTTCTGTTTGTAACAAGTCAGTTGTTTTACCTGATTCTGTTCCTCCATAGTGACTAATGATGCTTATAAGACTGTAACAACCATCACCCTGAGAAGGAACAAATCCAAAGAGTGTTAGTTTCATAAAGTCTCACATCAGTGTGATAATTAAGCTGAATCTCTGAGATGTTCTGCAGTCTGTTTTTACCTGTTTGGATGACACCACCAAGTCCCTCTGCAGCCTGACGGGGTCATTCACCTTCTGAAGCTTGCAGGTTTTTATAAAGCCAAACCTCTTCAGGTGCAAAATGAGAACTCTGACAGAAAAGGAAAAAAAACCCAAGGTACAAAACAAGAAGAATGAGTGACAAACACAAACCAAAGATGGGACAAAATGACTGCTCAAGTGTTGTCTTAAAAACTCTGATGTTTTTTGCACCACAGTTTGGAAACCAGGTCAGTCGATCAATTCTGATGTGACCTTACTCACCTTGGCAGTGTATGAAAAGACGGCTTCACTTCCGAGGTCATCCCTCCACAATCACAGAGAAATTCTATTTTTTGTTCCTGAACAACCGCACAGAGAAAACAGGCTTTATGGTAGAAAAAAAATCACAACATATGCACACAAACACTAACAAAAAAGGTGTGTTAAGATCAGTGATACTATATCTCTACTGGAATTTCTGATCTTACCTTCAAGTATGTCTCTAACATGTTTTTAACAGACCCCTCTGGAACCAGGTCAAGAGACAAGTTGGTGAATTCCTCTTGGTGTGATGATTGGTGACCGCAGCTACACATTTAAGGAGTAACATAGTTAAAGTAATGATCAGGTAGGAGGAAAAGAGGTATATGAAAATGTTGCAATCAGCCCTGTGTTTCTGAATGACGGGCTTACCTCTTGCATGTCCTCATGTTTTCCATTTTGAAAACATGATGGTCTTCTACTGGGCAGGTATAACTTCGGCCCAGGAGAGCTGCTTTCCTCTTCAGGTGAGGTGAAAGGCTTTTGATCTCATTGAGGAACAAGGTTAGGAATTCATGAGCATCCTGAAAGAAAAACACAGAGGAGATTTAAAACAGAACATAAACATTAGAAAGTAAAGGAAAAAAAACAAAATGTCCAAATAGCTGACATACTTTCTGTGCACTGCCTTTGTATTCAGGAGCATGTTTGCTGAATGCCTCCTTAAAAGATTTTAGGCGATGTTTTTTAAGGCCATAATCTCTTGAATTATGACAGTCCCTGATGTCAATGAGCCTTCTGTAAAAAGGAAAGGGTAAAACAGACATTTCTGGTGTTAGATATCTTTGCTCTTCAGCTTTTTGAAGAAAGTAGAAGGTTGACGTAGCACACCTTAAGAGCTGAGCTTCTGGGACTGCTCTCCACAAAGTCTCCTGATGGCTGATGTCTCTAATGAACTCGTCAGTGTTGAGCAGGCTCTGCAGGCAGGAGTTCATGTAGCAGGTGTTTGCAGTGTTTGGAAACCTGCCACACATACACAAATTTTACAGTATCAGTGTAAAATAGTTCATTTTCTCCATTTTGACAAAGTGAGCTTTGGTCCTCGTGCACCACGTGTACTCACCCGAAGTGGTCCACAGTCTGAATTTTATTTTCCGTTATTTTTCCATCGTTCAAATGTTTCGCTACACTATTGCAAAAAGGTAAAAACACGAACACACAATTAGGAAAGATGTCAAGACGCTAAGCAGTGTATGTGCATGTATGCATGAGCTTTGAAGCTTAAACATTTTGACGTTTTTCTCTTACATGTCAACCACCTGCTCCCATACATGCTCTTGTTCCAGAAACTCCATAATCAAAGTGTCCCAACTCAGGTCTGATGGCTCACCGTTTTCAGTGGTGTTTTTAACCTGGTGGGAACTTTCACCACCTTCCTTATGGGTGCTGCTGGATGAAGAAAGGAGTCAGGGATGCATAGCAAGCACAACAAGACAACAAACAAACATTGTCTCTCTGGAGAACAGCATTCAACCATCTAATGTTTATTTTGATAAGCACTCTGCCAAAATATTAAAAGCACTTACCTGGGA